TAAAAACAATAATATTGCGATAGTTACCTGATTAGATTACTTTTCATTTGTTATGTTCTTCCCGTAACCGCGTTATTCGGGAATTAAATTACTCGCATACATTTCCTCTCTCGAATATCGGAGAATAAAATTACTTTAAAATAGGGGGGGAATAAGCGAGGAAATATATTTATTTTTTACGTTACTGAAATCAATCTAATTTTAATATTGTCAAAATACACATTACTCATATTTTACAAATGAATAAATAACATTTCATCAATCTATAAGATATTTCTCCCGCCTTCTTAGCATGCCTTTGTGGTGCGGTGGTCTGGACGCTGGGCGCGTATTCCAGAAGTCCGCGGTTCGATTCCCGGCGAAGTCGTTGCTCATTTTTCATCTTTCCTGCTTCCAAAAAATACTTAATCTCTCTACAAATCTACTGTTTTATTTTTCTGCTTTTTTTTTTTTTTTTTTTTTTTTTTTTTTCGAGACTTCTTTTAAAAATTAGATTGCGATGCTAAAATATTTGGAAATCACTATCTTATTTCATTTACTTCAATTCATAATTTTACTTTTGTGAAATATTTTTGAGTACATATATATATATTATACAAACGTAGCTTATTCAATAATTTTGCGTGCTTTCTACAAGTTGTATGCGTAAAAACTGGGTGTCGACGAGAAATTATAAGTTCGACGAGAAATTATAATGTCGATGAGAAATTATAAGTTCTATAAACTCCAGCCTGTATTATATAAATGTTTCCCTGACATTATAAATAATTAAAGAATAAATCATAATCATTTTCTAGCCAATCATTTTCATTTGAAATAGCAGAATATATAAAATAATTTCCTTCTTAACAGAGTAAAAGAGTAAAAATGATTATCAAATTAAATTTCATTAAAAAACTTCGAGGCAATTGGATTTGAGCTTCAGTTGAATTATATATGATTTACTCTTGAGTACTTTGTTATAGCGTTCCCTAACCATATCTGGTGCGGGTCCAACAGGGGCCGAACGGTAGAGTCGCTGAACACTAATAGTTCGGTTCGGGGATCGAATCCCTGCGATCGGGCTGGCTCCATGGGCGTTTACATGGTTTTTCCTATGTGTAACGTGTATACCAGCCAGTTTCCTTTAGAAAGGTCCACCACGAAGGCATCCCTATCTTTAAGCAGATAGCCCTCGAGTGCTTTGCCATAACTAAATAAACCAAACCAACCATATCTGGCGCTTTTAGATTTGCACCAATATCTCAGCTATAATTTCGCCAACCTTGTAAAGCGCGAATTTGAAAATAAACAACACGATATCTAATAATAACAATATTCACATGTAGTTTCCTAAGAATATTTTTAAGAATCCTTCTTCTTCTTCTTCTTATTATTATTTTATTGCATGAAATTGTTCCAGTCAATTGCAGCACATTCACATACATTAAACAGTTTGGTACACCATTTCATGGAGGTTAACTCCTCTGCCCAAGAATACATATATCTAATAGTAGTAACGAACGATATTCTAGGACCGCTGAAACAATTTCCAACATGGAGGCCCTTCGTTTCGCAATTTTTAATATTGCACGTCCAAATGGTTCGTCGTTAACATAACGTTTCGCGTTGTGGCCATTTTCGCATACTCATTTCTCAGGTAAAAGACCACTTTCTTGAAAAACATGACATGGTATCCAGCTCATTATTTGGTAGATTCAAGTCTGTTAACCTCATATTCACAAAAAAGGAATTAATTTACACTCATGTCCATAAATTAAGGATAATGCAAAATGAGGCAAAGGAAGAGTTAGAAGCAAAACAAATTTGACTTATTTGTAAAGCTTATTTATTAAGCAAAAGGTAAAGAGCAAAAAAAGATGCTATATGTTTGATATTATTAAAAACATAGCGATTTTTTCTCATTGGAGGTAAAGAGCAAAAGGTAAAGAGCAAAAAAAGATGCTATATCTTTGATATTATTAAAAAACATAGCGATTTTTTCTCATTGGAGCAAATTACAAAAAAAAAAAAAAAAAAAAAAAAAAAAAAACCTATTTACAAAAAACCAATATTACATGGTTGGTATGATTGTTAATACATTGTATGTCTCCCAGACGATGCTATACAGTCCGTACAACGCCTAGGCATGCTGAGTATCAAATTATCGATCTGATCTTGGGGGATATTACACCACTCAAAACGCGATGCTCTCCTAAGTTCCGATAGACATGTAGGAGGAGGTTGACGGGCTGGAACTCGTCGGCCAAGCATGTCCCACACGTGCTCTACTGAATTCAAGTCCGGTGAGAATGCTGGCCAGTCCATACGGGTGATATCCTCCGATTGAAGGCATTCCCTTACGATGTTTCCGCGGTGAGGACGGACGTTGTCATCCATAAACACAAATTGTGCGCCCATGGCGCCCCGAAACAAACGTACATGTTGTTCCAGAATGACGTCCCGATAGATTTGGCTTGTCATGGTTCCAATTTGAACATGCAGGTCAGTTCTGCAACCCAGAATAATGCCACCTCAAACGAGCACTCCTGCACAACCGTAACGGTGTAGTTCAATGATTTTTTTTTGCTGGTAACGGGTACCTGGAGCTCCCCATATGAAAGTCCGGCGAGAATCAGACTGCAAGCTAAACCTGGACTCGTCGGAAAGCATCACACAAACCTACTGTTATGGTGTCCACAACGCATGCTCTCTACTCCAGGCTAACCGCAGGCGACAGTGAGTTGCAGTAAGTGGAACGCATCTGACAGGTCTACGAGCATATAGACCAAAGTGCTCTAAGCGTCTGTACACAGTCTGCCTTGAAATTGTCGTACCAGTGGCTGAAGAGAGCTGACGAGACAGGCCTGAGGCTGTGCTCCGCCTGTTTCTTTTGGCAGTAACTGCCAAATACCGGTCCTCATTCGGCGTTGTAACTCTGGGGCGACCTGTGCTGTAACGTCTACTCACATTACCATCTTCTTGGAATCGTTGCCAAAGCCTGGAGATGACACTCTGGGCAATTCCAAGTTCGTCTGGCACTTCCAGTTGGGTACGCCCCCATTCCAGACGGCCGATAATTCTACCACGTAAAAAATCATCCAAATGCGTCCTTTGTGTCATAACTATTCGGTTATTGCACTGAAATGCTTATAAAGCGCCTGCGAACAATTTTACTCCTTTGTCTGTATTCCTTATATATCACTCTCTTACACTCTCGTCATTGTGACGTACCATCGGTGTCATCTGGTTACTTCCTGAAATTTGCATATGATTCTTGAAGATGTGTGTGGTGATTTTACAGGTGATATATTTATTTTAGAGTTCGATTTCCGCGTAACTCCAAATTATCCTTAATTTATGCACATGAGTGTATTTTAAAATAAATAATTCGAATTCCAAAACCTCATCAAAAATGAATAATATAAGAACACACGACGAAAGCAAAAACGCAATACGGGGCTAATATAGAGTTACTTGGCGAAGTATAAGAACACACAGCCAAATTTTGGCGAGATATCTTGGTTGATTGGCAATTTAATCTCGGGGGCGGTATATCAAAGAAGTACCAACTCTCCCAAGTCTATTTTTATTACGTGTACATGTAATGCAAGTTTATAAGTATTTGTGATAAAAAAAATTAGTGATATTAGAGAAAATTTTAGAAAATGTTAATATCTTGCAATGTATGCAAAAAGTGATTATTAGTGATTTGAGTAATTAGTAATTCGAGTTCCTTCCCTTAGGCACATAGCCATTGAGGCTTTACCTTAATCACATAAGCCAAGCCAAGCCACTGATAGAACACTTGAAATCTATGAAGGATTGAAATATTATTTTATTTCACAACAAATCTATCCAGTGATCATAAAAAATTTTTGGTCAATGACTGTGGTGAAATGTGTTTGTAGTTTGTGAAAGGGCAACATAAATTGTTTAACAAAGCTATCTTGATTATGGAAATGAAAAAAACTAATGCAACTGACATTGTTAATGAAAGTGGAAAATTAAAAACAAACCTTGCAGAAAGGCTTGATAATACATTTATGCCTCAATAAGTTTTTAAAATATTGGAAAATAATGGAGTGGTTAATATCAATGCATTGTTTGAAGAGTTACGGTATTTTATGTCAGATGTCTGTCTAACATTAAGCTATGGAGAATGTGGTGGAGCACATTCTCCTATTTCGTTAAACACCACTGAATTAGCACAGCCTGAATTTGAAGTTTCAAGAGAAAAAAAAGTAATGAAACTGTCGCAAAGAATATAATAAACATGGATCAACCTTTTGATGAAGTAGTGATTGCAAGAACGTTTTGGTCAGCAGGTTACGAACTTTGGAAAAATAAAAGTTGTGAAAAAAAATGTACAAACACTTTTCATTCAACGCAGTCTTTTCGGTCGCAGGATACAACTTTTCAATCATTTCAAAGAAAAATATAGCATTTCATTGTTCCGTATTGTTCATATAGTAGAACACATTTTAAATATGCCAAGCACATCGGCACAAGTTGAAGGAGTGTTCTCAATATAAATGTCACATGATGTGAAGAAAGATTTATAATGTGTGAATCAAACATAAGAGCTATACTAACTGCAAAATTACATAGAACTAAGTTATAGTGAAATTTTCGATGCCATTAAAATCAACAAAGAAATTTCAGAGAAAGCTCACACTAGTGACTAATAATAGTAATAACTTTTAATAATATAGTATATTCCCTTGAGTTATTTCAATTTCTTTTAACTCTTCGTTCTTTTTTGTTAACAACTTTATTTAGAATTTTCTATCAAAGGTTTAATTTTCTGTTGGGAGTATTTGCTCAAAATTGTCCCTGTATTCTTAATTACGTATGATCTGAATTATACCTGTATTAATTACTAAAAATAACTGTCTGAATACACAGAATTGCGAAACTGTAGGGGCAGGAGAATTGTAGTAATTACAGTTTCTATTAAAAACAAGAAAGAACTGCTGAATCAAAATAAAAAAACTTCACGATAAGGCTACAAGTAATCACAATATAAGTATTTAAGTAAAATACAATTTAGTAATTACAATTTTTTTAAATTAAAAATTAAAAAAAAAAAACCTATGCTATGTAAGTACAATCTTTTATTCTGATGAAAATTCGTTTTAAATCGCCATTGCATAATCATTCAGTTCCATTTGGAGATTTTCTGGAGCCAACTCGATATCAACGTGGAAGAGAATTCAATATATTCCAATTATTTTACCGTGTTTGCCTAAGTTGCTAAATCGACTCCCAAATGCAACTATGTTTCCTTTCTTCGATATATTTAGGGGAAGGGATTATTAAATAAATAGTAAATTGTTGTGTTATTCGTATACGACTGGCACTGCAATCATAAAATTATCCATTTAAGTCGTTTAAAAGTTGAAGATTCTCGTGACAAAGTAGATATCCATTTCTGAAGTCCAACAAAAGTGACCGAAAAACTAACTAAAATGGCACCGCTGATGCTGAAAGCATCAGGAATATCGGAAAACAGAAATGTTTGCCACATAAATGCCAACACAATGTCCGAAGCTGCACGCATAGTTGCCACAGGTCCAGCGTTTTCGCACTGCAAAGCTATAGTTAGCAATGTCTGCCCCACGTAACTGAATATGCCTAGAACAACTATAAGGAAACTTTGAAGACCACAGAATGGCCACTTGAAGTCCCCCATTAGAGCTGTAAGTATCACCGTTTCTATGATCGCCACCCAACTGAAGTTGAACATGATTATCGCTTGATGAACACTTTTCACTTTTCGAATGACTATAAATCTACAGGTGCTAAACAATAGCGAGCCAAAAGCTGCTAAGATGCCGTAAATAAACTCCTTCGAATAGTCGAAGGAACTTCCAATTAGTTTCGATGGAAGTTTTGTGCTGAGTATTATACCAATCACAGTCAAGAAAACAATGCCCGATTGGAATATACCACAAGGTTCTTTTAGGAATATCCTAGCTGTAACTGTAACGAAAACGGGCACGCTGAAGATGATAACAGCTGCTTCCCCAAGAGGGAGATAACGAAATGCTAGAAAGTTTAGAAACAAATTGGTTGCACCAAAAACACCTCTCAGAAATAACAAGAAACGCATATCTTTAGGTCCGATAATCATGTCGCGGCATTTGACGGCCTGAGGAAGAGATAAGGCAAATATGGCCACGAATCTGTATACTGCAAGTTGTCCTGGATGTAGATTAGTCATTTTCTTGACTATGACTGCTGAAGACGAATAAAACACCCCAGACAAGAATGCAAGAAATAATCCTTTGAAGACAGAGAATTTGTTTTTAGTAGGTTCTGTGTTTTCATTCTCTTTCTGGTCTTTCTGTTCAAGCCGGAACTTTTTTCTTTTGTGAATACTTCGAGCTGAGCAGCAGGAATAGCACTTTGCCAGTACGTCAGCGAAGGTCATCATAATTCTTGGAAAGAACCTATTTGAAATAGAATTAATTTGTAAGAAATGTAGCATAAGTAAAGAAAATGCTAAAAATAGTTACAAAACATTTACGAATGTATTGCATAAAATAAATCTGGAATAATCTATCCGAAAACAATAAATCTAAAATCTGAAAGTGATACATTTGCTATAGCAAAAGAACTTAATAAATATAAAAATTAATAAATTATAATAAACCATTTCAATTATATCACAAATTTGCCCACCAGCGGTCGAGTGCTAAAGTCGCTGAATACTGGTAATTCCGACCTGGGTTCGATTGTAGGCGAAAGGGCTGGCCGCACGGACGTTTTTATAGTTTACCTCATATGTAATATGTATACTAGCCAGTTTCCCTTAGAAAGTCCTCCAGGAAGGTATTTCTCCTTAGGCATATTGCCCTGGCGTACTTTACCATAATTAAATAAACCAAACCGAACTATATCCTGAATTTATTATAAGTACCTACTTTTACGAAGTCCAGACGCGGTAAGATAGCTTCCCCGCAAAGCAGGTTTAGGGTTGCCAGAAATTGCAAGGGAAAGCAGAGTTACCACATTTGGCGAGAAATCGCCCATTTGACGACATATGGCACCAAAATTGGCGATATGCCAAAGTCGGATGGAGAACCTTCTGGAACGAATTCTAACCGGTTTAGCCCAGAATGTTCTCGAACACAAGCCAAAACCTATATAAACGCTGTTGGTACGCGGAGAGTGGGTTAGTCCGTGAAGAGTCCATCGAGTTGCATAGTCAGTCAGTGACTGCCGAGTTGGTCGTCGAGCGCACCGAAAGAGTCTCTTAGTGTATCGCGGTTAGTGCATCGTCGAGAAAGTGTGTTGAGCTCCGGGAATGACTGAACCGAAGAGTCGGGAGCTGTGCTCCGTGTGTCGTCGATTGCATCGCGAGTTGTAGCGTGGAGAGTCTCGAGCGTACGTGGAGTTCCGAGAACGACCAAATAGAGTGGAGAGCTATACTCTTGTGCTTTGCAGTGAAGCTGTCTCCCGCCGTTAGGCCTGAGAAATCTGAGGCTATTGTGCTATGATCGCTGAGTCGCCGTTGTAGCCTGATAATCGCTTGTATATTGTTCCAGCGATTTTATAGTAGATCTTCGACGATTGTAAAACGTGACTTTGGAGCTGTCCTTATTAATACTGGGTAATAAAGTGTGTTTCGATATTCTATCAAGTGCTGTCGTCGTTATTCACTCCAAATCCGCACGAACCCTGTACGAACGTGAAGGAAAAAAGTAACGTAACACTACAAACAGCTCACCGCCGTTTATACCTACACTTGTGTTTTTCTTGTAACAAACGTTTATCATCTAGTGTAATAAAAATAGATATCTTTTATACGTTATCATATAATTTGTTCGTTTTATTCCAAAAATGCCTTCTTTCATTTATATCCTATAAATATTTTCAAATGAATGAAAACTAATTACATAAATTTTACGAAGATGTGAATAAATACGTGTCTGGTGCTGGTACAATTATTAGGCTGGGCAAATTCAAAGGGCAATATATAATGGCAATGCAAATGCTGAGATTTCATAGCTAAACTATTTTCGAACAAGCACTGTAGCTAATTAAGCCATTCGTTGCCAGTCAGAAACTCTGGCAAATTTCTGTTGGCCTGTGAGGGTCTGTGTTAATTAATAGTTTTTATGGTTAAAGTCTTTAACTTCTTACTTCGTGATCTTTAGTAGAATGCAAAATAGCTATTTTATATTTAAGCTGAGGTTTTAAATGTTTAGAGGCAGAACTTCTGGCAGCCTCGTCTTGCTGCTGTTTGCTATCGTCAGCTCTGCCTAAGTTACTCCGACTTTAGGAACTTGCTAGCCGACTTTAAAATACGCGCCTGTGAATGAGTCAGCTTAAGTAGTCTGTTGTGTGTGTAGTTTCACACTACGTTAAGCACGCTGGAAATTAATTTTATGTCATTAATTTAAATACTCGAAAGTCACGCAGGTTCGTCTGACGCACAAGCAGTACCCTTCTCTTTATTTAAGAGTTAACTAAAGAAGGTTATTTTGACTTTCTTAAGGCTTGGTGTCTTGTTTCAAAGATAAGCAATACCTCGCTCCCATTCTAGTAGGATCTTGACATTGACACAGATTTATAAATATAGCAGAACCCTACGCAAAATATGCATACAAGGTTATTGCAAACGTACCTACAAACGTCACGAAAAAATCCACTCTGAATCCATTTTACAATCCACTTTGGATGTCAGTAATACAGATGGTCGCTCAAAAAAATAGGGAGAATGGATTCAGGAGGTTACATTAATGGTTAAAATGGATATTCCTGTTAAAATATTATAACCTAAATTTTTCGAAATTACAATATTTCATACAAGGAGATGGAAAGAAAATAAAACATGGCTGGTATAATTAAAAAAAAAAAAAAAAAAAAAAAAAAAAACCACTTTTGCTATGTAAGTGCAATTTTTTATTCTGATGCTTGAAACTACGTTTTAATTCGCCATTGCATAATCATTCAGTTCCATTTGGAGATTTTCTGGAGCCGACTCCATATCAACGTGGATATCATCGTTATTCAACTTATTCCAATTATTTTACCGTGTTTGCCTAAATTGCTAAATCGGCTCCAAAATACAACTACGTTTCCTTTCTTCGATATACACTCATGTCCATAAATTAAGGATAATGCAAAATCAGGCAGAGGAAGAGTTAGAAGCAAAACAAATTTGACTTATTTGTAAAGCTTATTTATTAAACAAAAGGTAAAGAGTAAAAAAAGATGCTATATGTTTGATATTATTACAAAAATTAGTGATTTTTTCTCCCTGGAGCAAATTACCAAAAAAAAAAATCTATTTACAAAAAACCAATATGACATGGTTGGTATGATTGTTAATACATTGTATATCTCCCAGACGATGCAATACAGTCCGTACAACGCCTAGGCATGCTGAGTATAAAATTATCGATCTGATCTTGGGGAATATTACACCACTCAAAAAGCAATTCTCTCCGAAGTTCCGGTAGACATGTAGGAGGAGGTTGACGGGCTGCAACTCTTCGGCCAAGCATGTCCCACACGTGCTCTACTGGATTCAAGTCCGGTGAGAATGCTAGCCATTCCATACGGGTGATATCCTCCGATTGAAGGCATTCCCTTACGATGTTTGCACGGTGAGGACGGGCGTTGTCATCCATAAACACAAATTGTGCGCCCATGGCGCCCCGAAACAAACGTACATGTTGTTCCAGAACGACGTCCCGATAGATTTGGCTTGTCATGGTTCCAATTTAAGCATGCAGGTCAGTTCTGGTATCCAGAATATGTCCACCCCAAACGAGCACTCCTGCACCACGGTAACGGTGTCGTTCAATGATGTTTTCTTGGCGGTAACGGGTACCTGGAGCTCTCCATATGAAAATCCGGTGAGAAACAGACTGCAAGCTAAACCTGGACTCGTCGGAAAACATCGCACAAGCCCACTGTTGCGATGTCCACAATGCATGCTCTCTACTCCAGGCTAACTGCAGGCGACAGTGAGTTGCAGTAAGTGGAACACATCTGACAGATTGTCATAAAATTGTCATAAAAGTGAGCTGACGAGACAGGTCTGAGGCTGTGCTACGACTGTTTCTTTTGGCAGTAACTATTCGGTTATTGCAGTAACTGCCAAATATCGGCCCTCATTCGGCATTGTAACTGAGGGGCGACCTATGCTGTAACGTTTACTCACATTACCATCATCTTGGAATCGTTGCCAAAGCCTGGAGATGACACTCTGGGCAATTCCAAGTTCGTCTGACACTTCCAGTTGGGTACGCCCACATTCCAGACGACCGATAATTCTAACCCCGTAAAAAATCACCCAAAAGCGTTCTTTGTGGCATAACTATTCGGTTATTGCACTGTAATGCTTATAAAGTGCCTGCAAAACAATTTTACTTCTTTGCCTGTATTCCTTATATATCACTCTCTTACACTCTCGTCATTCTGACGTACCATCGGTGTCATCTGGTTACTTCCTGAAATTTGCATATTATTCTTGAAGATGTGTGTAGTGATTTTACAGGTGATATATTTATTTTAGAGTTCGATTTCCGCGTGACTCCGAATTATCCTTAATTTATGGACATGAGTGTATTTAAGGTAATATAAGGTAAATTTAAATGCTATTGTAGGTAGCGTAGTGTTACGAATTTTGTATGAATGCAAATAGTTTTAGTGAATTATATGTAAATTCGTAGTATAATTTCTATAATAATATATATCATTTGTATAATATTGTTGCGTTATTTCTTCCGTCACGTTCGTACGTACGGGATTCCTTGCGGATTTGGAGTGAATAACGAGGATGAAGTATCGAAACACACTTTATTGGCCAGTATTCTCAGGACGTCTACAAAACATGTTTTACAGTCGTCGAAGAACTACTGTATACAGACGCTGTAACAATCAACAGGTTATCAGGCTATAATGGTGGAAAAGCTTCACTGCAAAGCACCAGATTACAGCTCCCGACTCTGCTCGGTCGTTCTCGGAACTCCATCTACTCTCGAGACTCTCCACGCTGGCAACTCGAGATGCACTCGACGACACACAGAGCACAGCTCCCGACTCTTCAGTTCAGTCGTTCCCAGAGCTCAGCACACTCTCTCAACGATGCACTAACAGCGATACACTAAGAGACTCTTTCGATGCACTCGACGACCCACTCGGCACTCGCTGACCGGCTGTCAACTGGATCGACGCCGCACGGACTGACTAACTATCTCGCACTTACTCTCCGCGTACCAGCAGGGTTTATATAGTTTTTGGCTTGTGTTCGAGAACATTTTGGGCTAAAGCGGTAAGAATTCGCTCCATCCGTCCATGGCATATCGCCATTTTTGTCGCCAAATGGGCGATTTCTCGCCAAATGTGGCAACCCTAAACCTGCTTTGCGGGGAAGCTATCTTACCGCGTCTGTACATTTCGTAACAATATATATTTGTATATTAACATAAAAGTC